GCCGCACACTACTACGGGTCAGGCTCCCTGCAAATTGTTAATGGGACGAAGACTTCGAACACGTTTGGATCTGCTACGGCCGGATTTGGCGCTTAGGTTCAAACAACAGCAGTGCTCCATGAAGCAAAACGCAGATAAACACGGCGGACCTCGCAAATTACGAGATGGCGAGGAGGTTTACGTCAAACTTCAGTCTTCAGATAATGAATGTGTGCGTGGATGTGTGAAGTCGACAAACCGTAACCTTATTGACATGCTGTTAGAAGACGGGAGGATAATACGCCTTCATTTAGACCATATCAGCACTAGGAGGCATGGACCAGATGCGGAATAAACATTCGAGCCGACAGAGCAGGTGGAATCTGGGCCGAAGCATGAGAGTTTGAAAACAACCATAGATGCCTCAAGGTGCCTGCACCGGTCGGCTAGGCAGTCAAGACAGGAATCAAGGCTTGAGTTGGTTAAATCAATCGGTGGGGGACTGTAGTAGCTGCTTCGGTGTGTCAGAGAGTTTGCGCGTGTGCGTGTCTGTTCGTCGTTTCACCATCGATCTGGCATGTGACTTGAGCGGCTGATTGCGTGAACATTGTGAGTTGACTGGATATAGGAGTCAGTTGCTTACTTACCCGCAACGAATTCGGACCAATTAGCCACGTGTGCACAATACACCCGTGTCCGTACTTACGTGCTCTTTTGACTTATTGTGAACTACAGTAAACCCCTGTTGATGATCCAAGCATAGAAGGGATTCCGGAGGCCATCTGGATCTCCATAGAACAGACCAAATTATCTGTGCTTGTGGGTTGTATCTATCTACCACCGGCTTCCATCCCGATTCTTTAAATGACTTGTCCCTTATTATCTTTACTGCACCCGCCATTTCTCATTCGTCGAAGTTTGTGCTGGGAGACCCATACCTACCGGATGGTTCCTGATCTCCCATTTTGGGCCGTGATCATTACAACTCGCTGCTTGCCCAAATTAGTATAGAAGGGTTGTCCCAGATTTTACGCGGCCCAACTTGTGACCAACATACCGTAGACTTTATCTTTTCAAATGAGGGTCATCTGGCTACAACTGCAGTTGGTCTATGCTCCCCAGGTACCGATCACTGTTTCGCTTCGTGCAATGCAGTCAGGTATAGCGAAACGGTTCCTCCGAGTCCTTCCTTCTTTCACCTCCTAAACACGGATACTTTGCTGACTTTTTCATCCTTGCTGGCCCCCGAGACTGGAACGACCTCTTCCCCCCGACAAACACAACGCATTTGTGACTTTATCTACCAGAACCTATTGACCTCTCTCAACCATACTTCTCTCACAATGAGCTGCCACCCTGATATATCCCGGCATGATAAGTTATTGAAAAACTTGGGCAATAAAATACACCGAATTGGCACAGAATACAGGAAATCTCGGGAGTTCTCATGGATATTCCTCATCAGCAAGCTCTCAACTGACCCGGAATCCTTACGGGTATTTATCGAGTGACGTGAATAGAACATCACTCTACCAGGGACAGTGCCCGCTGTAAATTACCTAGCTGTCTATTTCGTGGGCACTGTACCCCCACACAGTCACTCAGTTACCTGTCCGCGTTCTGCCAACGATAGTTTTATCACTAATCCTGTCAATATAACCGATTACCAGCTATCACTTACTTCTTCCTGCCAAGCTCAATCCCACAATCCCTGCCACACGCTTTGCATCTCCACAAGAGAGCAACCGCCCGTTTCATGGCAATGTGGCCATCTTCCTAGCTTCAGACCCTCAAGGACTTCGCCGTGCCGGGGGGCGAAGGCACACCATCCCATGCCCTGAGACATGGTGACCAAGATGTCCAAACCATTGTCTCAAATAATTTTCAATTACTCTGTTAACCATGGAATCGTCCCCTCTCAATGAAAACAAGCTATTGTTCACCTTTATTGCAAATCTCGATCCAGGCTAACTACTTTCAACCAAAGAGGGAACCAGCATGCTCCCCCTTTAATAAAAACATCTGAAAGTCTGGCCAAAAGCCCGTTAATCAGGTTCCTCCTAGCAACAAATACCATAGGTGACCAACAGTTCGGATACCTGTCTCAGGTACCCGGAAAAGACTGAGAGTTTCACTTCTTTGAGACCGTCATTGCGGGCTATGATGCCGGACACTATTCTTAGTCTATCTAAATATCCCGAAAGCCCTTGATCAGGTCCCTCATGCATCACTGCTGAAGAACCTCAATTCCGTTGGCATCATCAGATTCTTGCTTACTCCTACGTATCTTACAGGTCACAGATGACATAAGTTGGTGGCAAACGGTCATCTCCACCACCGGTTTTCATTATAGTCATTCAAAGGAGCATGCTAGGCCACATCCTCTTCACACATAGCTTCCTGGCGCTGCTCCGTCCCACCTGCCACCGGTTTTCATTATAGTCATTCAAAGGAGCATGCTAGGCCACATCCTCTTCACACATAGCTTCCTGGCGCTGCTTCGTCCCACCTGATGCGTTTACACTCATTGAGAACTCTGTCCCTCCTTCTGCTGGGATAAAAAAATTTGGCCTCAGATGCTCCTGCACCCTTCGTTTTTCACATGAAGTTCAGTTTCAGGTTGCCCGAGCACATGGACCGTGCTTTCTAGGAGTACTCTCCTTCCATCTTCGAGACGGAAAATTCGCCATTTTCGAGCTATTTTTGTGGCCGATTCTGGGATTCTGTCATGCTTTCTCTTCCTTTAATACCCAAAGTTGCACACTGGCACCCCAGGGCGTCTAACCTTCATTTACCAAAAGGTTATTCTCACATACCAGCCCTCTCTCCTACCGCTCTCGCCGTATAAACCCGTAGGCCTTGAGCCGCTGTTGCTCAGACTGCCAAAGCTAAATTAGCCTCTCCTACACCGTCTGTTGTACCGAAACGCTTTTATGGCAGAGGCTGGGTCAAAAGTAGTCGTATACACTCCATAAATGACGTAAACCAAGCAACAACTCATTGTGCCCTCATGCGCATACAAACATACGATACTATTTCTTCCTGGTTTACTACACCCGCATCTGGAACGATCTCCCAGAGCAGTTCCGAAATATCACATATCAACATAGTCTGTAGATAACTTCCTTACGTGTGGAGCCCCAGCCGTCGCATATAATACTCAACTATCCTTCGGTCTCCGTTATGAATGGGGTCCAGACCACATCTGAGTGTGGCCAAGGTGCAGTTAGTGCACGAAAAAATAAGCCACTCCCTCACTATAGCTTGCTACCTCTTTGATGTGCTCAGAGCAATTTATACCATGTTCCGCCTTGGACTACCCTATCCGCCTTGTTTAATGAGTGGTACCGCGTCTTGCCTAACTCTAACAAAACAAATCTAACAGAGGTCAGAGTTCCTCATACCTGAGAACGTATGATACGCCCCACTACACGTTCAGCACACGCACACAACATTGCGGTACGTTACTGTTTGGCTTGATAACTCACGCCGTTTCATTGCTTAGCCATATTTCAAACGATCTGGCTATCTCTGTTCTGTCCCGATTTTCTCAATGGCAGCTGCCGCCTCACTTAACTTCGTGACCTGCTGTTTGTCGTTTGCCTGTTCAAAATGATTGAGCTGTGTTTCTGTCCTGGCTTTTATTCAACCGGATAAAATATCTGGTAGCTGGTAGCTGGTGTCCTTTATTGGTGCATAAGCTGCACTTATGTCTGTTTACCTGTTTGTCTGGCATGCCACCTTGAAGATCCTGCAGCATGTATGAGGGTGCGTCCAACCGGACGGGTCTCCTTGTTGCATTGCACCATGGTGCGTTCATGTACCCGCCCCCTCCAGTAACACCCCGATGCGTTTACATTCATTGAGAACTCTGTCTCTCCTTCTGCTGGGATAAAAAAATTTGGCCTCAGATGCTCCTGCACCCTTCGTTTTTCACATGAAGTTCAGTTTCAGGTTGCCCGAGCACATGGACCGTGCTTTCTAGGAGTACTCTCCTTCCATCTTCGAGACGGAAAATTCGCCATTTTCGAGCTATTTTTGTGGCCGATTCTGGGATTCTGTCATGCTTTCTCTTCCTTTAATACCCAAAGTTGCACACTGGCACCCCAGGGCGTCTAACCTTCATTTACCAAAAGGTTATTCTCACATACCAGCCCTCTCTCCTACCGCTCTCGCCGTATAAACCCGTAGGCCTTGAGCCGCTGTTGCTCAGACTGCCAAAGCTAAATTAGCCTCTCCTACACCGTCTGTTGTACCGAAACGCTTTTATGGCAGAGGCTGGGTCAAAAGTAGTCGTATACACTCCATAAATGACGTAAACCAAGCAACAACTCATTGTGCCCTCATGCGCATACAAACATACGATACTATTTCTTCCTGGTTTACTACACCCGCATCTGGGACGATCTCCCAGAGCAGTTCCGAAATATCACACATCAACATAGTCTGTAGATAACTTCCTTACGTGTGGAGCCCCAGCCGCCGCATATAATACCCAACTATCCTTCGGTCTCCGTTATGAATGCGGTCCAGACCACATCTTAGTGTGGCCAAGGTACAGTTAGTGCACGATAAAATAAGCCACTCCCTTACTATAGCTTGCTACCTCTTTTATGTGCTTAGAGCAATTTATACCATGTTCCCGTCATCTAGGTCCCCGCCTTGGACTACCCTATCCGCCCTGTTTAATGAGTGGTACCGCGTCTTGCCCAACTCTAACAAAACAAATCTAACAGAGGTCAGAGTTCCTCATACCTGAGAACCTACGATACGCCCCACTACACGTTCAGCACACGCACACAACATTGCGGTACGTTACTGTTTGGCTTGATAACTCACGCCGTTTCATTGCTTAGCCATATTTCAAACGATCTGGCTATCTCTGTTCTGTCCCGATTTTCTCAATGGCAGCTGCCGCCTCACTTAACTTCGTGACCTGCTGTTTGTCGTTTGCCTGTTCAAAATGATTGAGCTGTGTTTCTGTCCTGGATTTTATCCGACCGGATAAAATATCTGGTAGCTGGTAGCTGGTGTCCTTTATTGGTGCATAAGCTGCACTTATGTCTGTTTACCTGTTTGTCTGGCATGCCACCTTGAAGATCCTGCAGCATGTATGAGGGTGCGTCCAACCGGACGGGTCTCCTTGTTGCATTGCACCATGGCGCGTTCATGTACCCGCCCCCTCCAGTAACACCGGTGCATCGCACATCGCCGGTGGTTCTGAGCATGGCCTTTTATTCAGGAAATCAATAAAAGAGCACTGCAGTTTTCTGCTTGTTGCTACCGGGCCAGACTCGCCCCGGTTGTGTCATTCAGCTGGGAAAGCTGTAATCCACAGACGGTAAAAAAGTGAAAAGAGAGAGAACTGGCCTCCCGTGTGTTAAAAAATTCGTAAAAATGGATGGGATAGCCTGGAGACTCCGACGCATTTGGCTTACGTTTGCCTCCTGGGCTGTGGGTGCCCTTGTCATAATTGGAGTTGTACCGTACCACAGCACACTTAATAAACCAAACAAAAACTCAGGCATCTACTTACTGCCTACTGCTCCCAGTATGGAACACATACAACGACAAATATGTGTATACAGAGGTTTTTAACCATCCGCTACCAGCATTCATGACTAGTGCCCGGAGGCGTCTTATTCGCCATGCACCACTTGTCTACTTGAAGCTGATAGCAGTGCCTCGGGGACTGGTGGCTATTTCTCTTTCACCTAGTCTCTCCCCTGGTACTGTTCAACGCATGTAAAATACCAGAATAACTAGTCCATCATCTCGGAATTTTACTCCTATCAGACCATATACATCTGCTTTTCCTAGCCACACCACCCCTCTGCGCGCTTATACCGGCTTTTACTAGA